CGGCGGTCATCGCGCGCCGTTCTTTTCCTCCATCGTGACTCTGTTAGTTTCTTTGTGTGACGATAAAAAATAAATAAATAATTAAAAAATACATACACACACATATATATATATATATATATATATATATATATATATATATATATATATCCGCGCGAAATACAATATACAACTATATATTCGCGAAAAATTCAGTTATGCGTCACGATTCCAGAAGCAGAAGAATGCGGCTCAGTCGAACCTTGCGGAAACGAAGCCTGGAGAGACCACGCGGAAATCGGCATCGTAGTTTGCAGACCGCAAAATGCCTCGAGTTTCGCTCCTCTCTTTTCTTCGCTCTTTTCTTCCTTAGCTACGTTAGCTACGCCGTTGACGCGGTCAAAAATAGCCACGACCGACGTGTTCCAGCCAGGGGGGCTTCTAAAGATTCTCTAAAGGAAGCTCATACGATACAGTTCATACAGTCGATGTGGAGAGGCGTGCGAGTTTCGGGGGGTATGTCGCAGCACAATTCAAGTAAGTTCACTCTTAGCGAGAATAAATCTGCCACGACCCAAATGTCGCGTCTCTTGAGTGAGTCGACAGGCAACAGTAGCTAGTACTTCTTTGTTTCTAAACGAGTGAATCTTTGAGGGGAAGGACCGTTTATCTCAAATCAAATAAACCGGCAGTCTTCTCGCTGAGAAGTTTCGTCGTGTCTCCGCGCATATATGTGCAATTAGGGTAGCGATTAAGGATCCAATTAAATGTATTCCTTGAAATAGGCAACCAATTGGCTCGTCGCCTGTCTCGTAGACCTGCGAGACGAGGAAAATCTAGCGAAAAATCTTTGAATTAATATAAAAAAAAAGCGAGCCCGTAATAGGGGCTTCGCGTTAGACTTTGTAATGTTTTTCTCATATCGACCTCTAGTACTTTTACAGCTCTTGGCGCTCTCTCGAGAACATCCGGTACCCTCGAGGTAGTGTGATGTAGATGCCCCTCGATGAAAATCGCGTTCAATTACAAACAATAACACGCCAGTCGGTGCGGTGCGACGTATTCATTGCGCGAGCCTCGTGAATGGAGAACACGATGAAGCGCATTGTCGCGGCGATGACGGACAGTCGTTCTTCGTGTTCCTCAGCTAGGCTGGGCTAGGCGCGACTACGAGAGTGGGGAAGGTAGAAGAGGCGGTGTTGTATCACGGAATAGAGTTCTATTCCTAGATCCCGGGACACCCGAGAATAACCTCGCCTCGCGCGAGGGCTTCCCCAATCTTCGAGACACAGCCGTGCCGAGTAACTTGGAAGCGCTCTTTCTCCCTCTCTCTCTCTCTCTCTCCCTCTCTCTCTCTCTCTCTCTCTCTCTCTCTCTCTCTCTCTCTCTCTCTCTCTCTTTCTTTCTCTTGGCTCTCTTGGCTCTCTTCCGAGCCACACTCTGTCCTTTCACCCTTTGTCCGTTCGTTTGCAAGCGAAAGCACCGAAACTAGCTCGTATTCTTACGTTTGTACTGGTCGTTCTTTCGTATTGCGACGAGCCGTAAACCAGAGATGATGAGTACAGTCGCCGTCGGAAAATATAATTACAGAGATCCTACTCGGATCCTAAATGTTCGTGAATACTTGGAACACGTCGAATCCAAGCTCTGTTTACGACAGAAGGCGCTCGCGTTAACCTTGCTGATGTGTACGTTTGTGCACGGTGGCTGATTTCCATACAATTAAATACCAGACGCCCTCGGTAACGCGATGCTCATCGGGCCGTGCGGTCGATCGTGGATTTATTAGAAAACCAGGCCGAAGCGACCTCGCCCGGGACACGAAGCGGCGATTCCTTCCACGTACGCGCGCGAGCAATCGTTTCGATTTAATCAGGAGACGCGTCGCTGACTCACGGTACGTTGACTACAGACAGGACTCGCAGCCAGGAAATGCAGCGAACGGACGTCTCGAAGCTGCTCTTTGCTTTGAGATTCCTTGTTTGTTTACATGCCAATTGATATATACGTGAAATTACTAGTGGAGATGGATTCTCTTCGCGTTTCGCGCGTACAGAGAGGACGAATAAGTAATTGGCGAGCGTTCGGGTCGGGTTTTCGAACGAGGCACGCGTGGGCACGCCTCTCGCCTTCGAGGTACGCTCACGCGTGCATGCCACGGGATAACTCTTGTGTAAGAGAATTTACGATAAAGCCGCGGTCAGAACTTAACGCGCGGCTCGGCCTTTTCTCTCTCTCTCTCTCTCTCTCTCTCTCTCTCTCTCTCTCTCTCTCTCTCTCTCT